TTATATAGAGAAAATCATATACATGTGTCCATTTTATCACCATTTCAGTAATTATATAACCACCCGACTCATAGGACGTACATTGGACCTTCCATTTCCTAAAAATTCTATAAATGGGCATTTTATCAAACACATGGTGGGCTGCTGTTCATGTAAATAGAATTATGTATTTCAAGAGTACTAAGTCCAACCAATTCCAAAAATTCATATAAATCAGCCCACCAACAACATACATATATATATATATATATATCAAGCTTCATAATTTGATCGTGGAAGCATGAAAAACATAAACATCACATAATAATTTCATGTCATGATAATATGCAAAATAAACCATAATAGGGTGTGTAGTAGTAATTCCATACTTCAAGAGTTCATAAATAACCATAAGGACCCATAAACTTGAAGTAAAAATAGAGGATAAATGGTTGGACTTGTGGAAAGGAAGGTTTCCACAATCAAACCCACATACCTCAACTTTGGAGAATCCTTGATGAAGATTGGAATGGAGAATTGAAGCTTGAGATTGAGTCTTGAATCCGGAATTAGAGCTTGAGATGTTTGAATTTGGTTGAAGATCTTGGTGGAATTTTGGAGAGGGCTTAGAGAGTGTTTTTGAAGTTAAAAAAAAAAGACTAAGTATGGGACATATCCCCTTTTTATAAAAAACGTCCCTAACACTTAGCCTCAAAAAAAGAAAAAAAATAGCTCACTGGAAATTGCAAATCTGCACAGACAAGTTTTACGAAAATGGTCATAACTCCCTCATCCTAACTCGGAATGAGGTGAAACCAAGTGCGTTGGAAAGCTAACTCAAAGAGCTTTAATTTAATAGGTTGTGGCCCTTCCAGTTCTTTGTGTGCTAAGTGATAAGCCCCTTTAAAGTTGACACTCCAAATCGCATTTTTTGATATTTTTGAATTATGATACGGTTGCTCTAAAATTCGGGTTAGACCCATTTCCCACTCAATTTGACCCCATGAATAAGAATATGAAGTCAAATTTCCAAAATCATGCACAAATTTTGAGATATATGGAAATTACAATTATAGGTGTTTTCGAAGCACATTTTAGGGCATTTTTGGGGTCGTTTCACATATAGATGTTAATTGAACTAGACTATAGTATATATGATGGGTCTTGACTAGTAATGAATGAGATTGAGCCTTTATGGTGAACTAAGACTAGAATAGCTTAAAGATGAAGCTTGTGACTATAATATCTTGAAATCTAGATATGAATGATGATAGTAAGAAGTAGAGCTTTGAGAGTTAGACTTTTAGTCATGAATGTTGATCACTACGGTTTGAAGGTAAATTCAATATGATGAATTATGAATGTTAAAGCTTTGAGAGTAAAGTCTATATGTGAGATTAGAAGATTAAAGTATAGAATTGTGGTAGAAGGCCTATACCTACCTAATCTATATTATGAGTGCTTAAGTGCACAAAGTGTTAGAATCACTTGAGTTATGCTAGTATCCATGTCTAATGTAGAATTATTGATATGGTATCATGCATAAGTATGATATGATATAAAAGGTTCTCTCTCGTAGAATTATTCTAGGTTGAAAGTTTATTCTCACCTAAAATGAATCAAAGTCCAAGGGACTATGAAATGTGATGAGGTTGTGGTGATTCCTCTAAAAGACCTTTACATGGTAAAAATGTGAGGTGACTTCCCTTATTCCTAATTAGTTAAACATGAGGTGATTACCCATGTCATGGTATGGAGAGTGTGAGGTGATTACCCTTATGTATGTATGACCCCAAGGCAAGCGGTGATTACCCGTTAGCCTTTATGTTGATCAAGGAGGCGATTACCTATGATCCTTATGTGATGATGTGCAGGAGAATACCTACATTACACGTTAAAATGAATATGGAGGCGAATACCTATATTCCATTAAAATGAACATGGAGGCGAATACCTATGATTCATTAATATGTATGACTAGAGGAGATTATCCTTGTCTTTATGATTCATTAATATGTATGAATAGAGGAGATTACCCTTGTCTTTATGATTCCATGATATGTATGCCTTGAGGTGATTCCCTTTGCATCTATGAGCATGAGCATGACTAGTTTGGATTGTAGTTGATATGCCCTTTCAATACGTGCATGACTTGAGGTGATTACCCTTGTCCTTTATGATGAGCTATACATGTATGACTTGAGGTGATTTCCCTTGTTTCTTGTGATGAGCTGAATATGAGAATATGAGATGATACATATGAATGAAGAACTTAAAGTGTCTAGCTTATCATGGGTAGGAGTATGGGATCTTATTTATGCATTGCACAAGCTTACCTTGAGGTGACTCATGAAATGTTTCTCTCACATGATGTGTGCTTAGATTGGATGTTGTTATAGTTGTCGTCCTTGATATCTTGACTAAAGGTGATATTTCCCTTGTCTATATGAAGTAAGCTAAGAATGAGACCAAATGAATGGTAAGTATGAATAAGGTGACTTCAAGGTTATGCTTAGTGTGAATGGTATTATGGGATGCCATTCATGCATTGCACAAGCATGCTTTGAGGTTACTTAGGAGTGTAGTGCTTTTATGAATTGAATGCCTAAGACTTGACTATGCATATAGACTATCATTAAGATGACCAAAAAGGGATACTTAGCTTGGATGGTATTATGGGATGCTATTCATGCATTGCACAAGTATGCTTTGAAGTTACTTGAGAGTGGTCTTATTATGATGTAAATGACTAGGAGTTGAATAATGCTTATATGATGTTTATGACTGGAGACTTCACTTATGATTATGATATTGTCTCTTATGCTTATAGTTGATGTTTCATGAAATATTTCTTATGTTTATGGATTATGTCTCATGTTGACTCACCCTTATGATATGCTCTTATGATGTTATGCTAGCTAACATATTTAGTACGTTTTGTACTAATGCATATTTTGCCTACATTCTAATCAAATGTAGGGTTTAATTTGGAGATTGAGTCCCTATTTTGAGGATAAGTTTCTAAGGAGCAAAGGAGTTGAAGACTTGGTGAGTCCTCATAACATCGATGATTGATCACCCATTTCCTATATGTCATCTTTCTTTATGTTTTAGACTCTTATATAGGTTGCGTCCCAAAGGTTTTTATTCAGTTTGAGTTTAGATGGTTTGAGACAAAAGTGTAGTAAAGACTTCCGCTTGCATCTTATAAAGACTTCGATTGTATGGATAAATTTTTTAAAATTTTTGTACTTTTCTATTATCTTATATTATGATGTGCTAAGGGCTTGTATGATACCCCTTCGAGGTCAAGTACGCCATGTTACATCTAGGGTGTACCCTTGGGTCGTGACACGATCTGAAGATGAAAACTGTTGGAACTGATTATAATAGGTAAGTTAGCAATTGAGAATTAGACGATGGAGCAGTTTCTCAAGTAGTAAATAAGTTCATAGTTGAGAGGTATTTCTACAGAGTGGAATCGAATCTTGTGGTCTGCTTCAGTAACTTCCTATATGAATTTATTTGAACTTTCTCAATCAAATCCTATAGCATATATGTTGACCATTTGAAAGGAAAAACAAGTGAAAATTTGAACATAGAGTTGTCATATTAGATGTGAGTTTAGAGGTGTCTAAAATGAGCCAACTATAAGTAACCCGCCCAATTCATTAAGATTTTTAAGGGTTGGACTCAAGATAATTTGAATTGGGTTCAATCTCAACCCATTCAAACCTTAACCTATTTTAAGAGAATCCTCAGTTAAACCCAATTTAATCTCCAATTTTAACCTGTTTTAAGACTATTTATTTGCATTGATGTAATGTATGTTCCTATATTGTAATGTATCTTTTAAGATTTATCTATCCGTTTGTAACTTCTTTTCTTAAATTCTCTTGATTTGAAATTCAAATTGTGGTATAAAACTTAAATAACAATATATTAAAAAAATTTAGATTAAGCAAGTCCAATTCGGCGGGTCAAGACTCAATCCGCTTTTAAGCCCATTTATACCTAACTCATTTGAGCCCAAAGTAAATTTGGGAGAATCTAAACCAACCCAATTTCTATTTCAACCCATTTTAATATCTTCTATTTCAACCCAACCCGCCCATTTGACACCCCTATGTGAGTCAGCGAATGCATCTTTCTCTTTCATTTTGTTTTCACTTTCTGTGTGTGCAAAGTTGTCGTCCAAGTGCATAGTGTATTGGTGCAATATGGTCATGACATGTGGACAACTCAGAGGATGAGAAATATGGTCGCGACGTATGAACTACTCGGAGGACGATGCATGACATCACAAGTCTAGTCAGCTCCAAGTCATCAAAAGTAGCTTCGACAAGAGGTTAAGGAATAACGTAACTTGGAAGTTTGCTCCAGGTCTATAACGATCTTACCCTAGAACCATCATACCGTGGTACGATGATGTTGTCCCGGAGACGAGTGTCTGGTCGGTTGGCAAATGTGAGGATAGAATAGACATCCCAGACCTACTGAATCCAAAATATTCGGATCATGTATGGCGGTTACAAATAAGTATGTGTTACGTACAAGACGTGAAAATATTGATCGCAATGAGGACTGATATACTAGGAATATGTTAGTCTAGGATTGTACTATAAATATATACCCTTTTTGCCCTCCTGTATACCATTGGATTTTCATGACTATTATTGCTTAAGCTCTCAAGTTACAACAACCTATTATATTCTTATTCTGCCAGAAATATTGATAAGAGAAGAATCAGACTTTCATTAGGATGATATTCCTTTCATCCGAATGGCAAGGCGTGCTAGTTTCCTGAAGTACACCCGCATCTATCTGGTCACTGCCCAAATTAGGAGTTCTCAGTAATAACTCTCACTCTTTTGCTTAGACATTATTTTCATACTCTTTACCATTTGTCTTATATCTTTTAAACTAGATTCACATTATTGTGAGGTTAATCGTGGTTGAAATAAGTCAAGTAACTGACTTATTTGTGACCGTTTTTCAAACAAATTACCCTGTATCACATTTTAGCCCACTATAAGTTTAAAATTAATTGAACTAATTTCAGACAACAGAAGCATGTAAATTATTATATGAAGAAGATAATAGAAGATATGATGTCCCTCGGGATCTTTGCTAGTATGCACATCCATCAGTGAACTAATCTTGGAAGCAAAATAGAAGCATGTAAATAATCATTATATGTGATCATTTTCCATCACAATCTCAAGCTCTTGCCTGCTATCCGGTTCAGACTAATTGTTATCATCATAAAAAAAAGGGAAAATGCAGAAGAGAAGGGAAAATGTTTTCAAAAATGGTAAATACCTCGCTATCGGCAACAATACGACGATATTCTTTGAGAACATCAGAGGTAAGGAAAATCTCTTTACGAATCATGGTATCACTTTTTAGTTAGAGTTGTTGGCATAACAGAGATTTCCATTGGGACAAAACTCGAATTCTAAGAACTCGTGGCTGAACTTTCCTTTGTGACCTACATAGTACCTCAGGTAGAATTCGACATTGTCTTCCGATTCCGTCATTTCTCCGATAACTACACTCCAATTCTAAGAATTTGAATGTTTGCCTCTCCTAGCCATTTTGGATCAAAGTAAACTACAATTCCCAAACAAAAGCCCACAACTTTCCATCTAAAACAACATAAACGCCCGCTTCAAACAAGCAAAATATACACAATTATTTCAATTTATGTAACACGCGAAATTTCGAGATTCAAATTTCTAAATTTAACTGTGAATATAAATATACGAGTCTTAATTCTTTTGAAATTAAATTTATATATTTCAAACTTATAGATCACAATATGTTGACATAAATTGATATAGAGATAGTACAAAATAATCTTTTCAGCCTATATAATTGAAAATTAATCGTTATTACAGATCAGATATGAGCTATCTTGGGAGAAAAAGGGCTATGTATGAACAAACTAATCTAAGTTATGAGAATCAACAAAAAGGGATACAAGCACCAGCAAAACATAAGAGCCAAGGAACCAGATTTGCAATATTAACGAGCATCGATCTAAGAGACCAAGAGAATGAAACGCGGGAGCATGTCACCGCCTTTTCTTCTTCAACTAAGGAAAAGCGGGGAATTAGAAATCAATCACCACCACAAGGTAGGAGGAAATAAAAGTACTCACAAAGATCCTCACAGTTGGAGTACTGAGTTCGGTATCTTCCTGAACTCATACATCCATATCGGGTAGTACACCTTCAAAGAAAATGGAAAATTCAGTTGGGAATTGAAAAACATGAAGGATCAGAGAAGAGTGGTACAAACTACAAGTTGCTTGATAATGTGATTGGAGAAGCTCACCTATGGAGAATGTTAATCACCCAAAGGAGGAAAAGGAGAAGAATATTGTTAGGGGTCACAAGGAGAAGCATCTTCCAAGGGGTGTTGGTCTTAGAGCCCGTTTGGATTGACTTAAAAAAAGTAACTTTTAAAAAGTAACTTTTAAAGTGCTGGAACTTATTTTTAAAATAAGTAGTTATGTGTTTGGATAAAAGTGCTGCAGTTGAAAAAAAAATTGTTGATGTGTTTGGCAAATAAGTGCTGGTATACACTTTTTTTTATCAAAATGTCTGAAATACCCTTTAAGCTGTTAACATGATAAAAAGTTGATTAATTTAAGGTTTTTATACTTAAAAAAAAA